CCCGCCACTGACAGGTTTTTTTTTTGTCCTTTCCTGTGGCACGTGCTGTAGTATTTTATTGATTTGACGTTTCATCACAACGCAATTTCACGCGCACACGGGCACGCAAATTAGGAGCGCGTTAAGCACCACCGGCCGAGCATTCACAAACCAAACGATCGTATAGCTTCCCACGATGAGCTTCGAGACGGAAACATTTGTGAAGTTTCTCTTTTCGGTTCTGTTCCTCTTCTTATGCGGGCTCATACTGATGCTGTACATCCACAAGCTGTTGGGCGTCGCGGTGCAGGTGCTCCTGCGCTACTTCGTTCTGCCGCCGTCGACGCGTGTGCACCTGGGCGGCCTCTTCATCTCCCCGCTGAACTGCCGTATCTTCATACAGAACTTGTTTTACCAGGACGAGAACGTCTCGCTGCGCGTCATTGACGGCTATGTGTCGTTTGTCTTCTGGGACAGCTGGTGGAAGGACCCGGAGTGGACGAAGGTGCGGGACTTCATGTTCACCGACGACCTCAACGGGAAGCGGTGCCGCGTGCAGGTGAAGCTGCTGTGGGTGCGTGGCGTCATCGTCGAAGTGCTGCGCAACGAGCGGAAGCTGCGGGTGCGGCTCGAGAGCCCTGACGACACGGACGGCGCGACGAACGAGGCGCCGCTCTTCGACATTTTGACCACCGACGATGACACCCCCGACATCCTGGACGCGGAGCGCGTGGACTTTGACAGCAATCTCACCCGGCGTCATATGAGCAACGCCAACAGCAACACCCCCATCACCACCGCCGCCGCCGCCGCCAGCAACAACGATCGTGATGCAGTGAACAACTCCAGCAGCAGCGATGCTCCAGAAACGCGTCGGAGGGAGCCGAGTGTGTTGTTTGGATCATCCGCCAACCAGGAGTTGCTCTTCTCGCCGGTGGAGGGCGGCAGCCATGCCTCGCCCGAACAGGCCACCAACAATGATGCCACTGAGGGTGTACCTCTCGGCTTCACAAAACTGTTTGATGTGGACGCGGTGCAGATTCCACAGAAGCGCGGCAAAGTTCGTGTGCACCTGAACGGGATGGGCCTCACCCTCTACAACGCCACGTGGAACTACAAGAACCTCGCCCCAGCAGAGCCAGTAGACACACGGCCCCGCTCAAAATCTCTGCAGAGTTGGGCAGTCCGGAACATTTTCAGTCGCATATTTACCAACAACAATGGTGATAACATAGGCGAGGAAGAGGAAATGCAGCAGCGGCGTAGCAGCGACGAGGAGACACAGGCAGAGGCGGAACAGGCAAAGGCGGTGGAACAGCAGAAGTGCCTGAAGGAGACGAAGACCTTGATGCAGCGCTTTTATAACTTTATCGGCGCCGTGGAGGTCGAGCTGTATGCAAGTTATGTGGACCTGGGCGGCGCAGGTGCCAAGCACCCGTACTTCCTGCACGTCGGCTTCAAGCGGGCAGAGGCGCACAGTTACTTGACGCAGGACGGCATGCCCAGCGTAGATCTCTACCGCTTCGTCACGGAGGCGACGTTGGAGGAAGTGCACGCGTCCTGGTGCCCCATGAAGAAGGAGAAGGAGAAGGAGAGTAAGTACGTCAATGTGCAGGAACTGCGGCGAGGCTCCTGGCGTGAGTCCTTCATGCTCATGTTGAAGGGCACACTGCCGAACGGTATGCCGAGCCCTGTAGTCGATGAGGTGTCTTCGCTGATTCGTAACTATGGCGTGCTGCTCAGCGGGAAGGGGGGCTCGTCGCTGCACGTAGTCTTCTACCGAGACGTGACAAATGTGCACGCCGGTGAGGACGTGAGCCGCCAGGCAGACCTGCCGCGCATGGGCTTTGAGGTTTTCGTTGATGCCCCTGA